GGGCGTGGTTAATAACCGATTTTAAAGATTTTCGGCCATTTTGTGTGCTGCACAAAGGCCAACAACTGTGCCAAGTTTGGAAGAAATTGGTGCAGCGGTTACCAAGATATACAAATGTAACCATAAGTGGGCGTGGCTAAGCCCATTTTCCAAAAATTCATAATATTCTTATTTTTCGTCTAACATTTATTGTAAATATCAATTTTGAGTGAATAATCTTCAGTAGTTACGAAAATATCGCAGTTTTCGTATTTCTGAAAATTACCGTTATATCGGAAGTGGGCGTGGTTACAGTCCGATTTCGCCTATTTTCAATACCAACCTACCTTGGATAAATGGAAACCTACATACCGACCTACGAGTTATCGTGTACACGGACGGGCGGACAGACAGACATTTCTTAATCGACTTCTCTATTCATTCTGAGCATTGATATATACATTTGTCTATATCTATCTCGATTTGTTTTGGCTGTTACAAACAACCGTTATGTGAACAAAGTTAATATACCCTTGTGCACAAGTGCGCTCGGGTATAATTACCAAATTTATTTTATGTCCAGAACTGTACATAGATATGTCTGTATTACATATATACATACATACATACGAGTATAACAGCTGATTCCGTACGGAAGGTGCGACCAGTATTTACTAGACTTTAAGCAAATGACGTTTGACGAAAATTGATGTTAAGTACCAGGGTCGCAGCCAGGATTTTTTTTCGTTCTAGCAAAATATTTTTTTTGTTTTCACTTTTATTTCAACATATTTTGATTAAAAGAAAAATACTCATAAAAATAAAATATTTCACACCAACAAAGAGAAATATATTCGCTAATCGCATTTGCCTGAAAATTTTAAAATGCACTTAGTGGCATTGTGCTACTATGATAGCACGGCCGAGTAATCGTAGTCAACTTATATACAGTAGACTGCATCACTCCCATACAAAAAAAATCGGTACTATTTTTCCACTGGAATTATTAAATCTATTATATTTTAAGAATTCCACCAAAATATCTCGCAAAAATTTTAAGATTTACGTGAGCTGGACCGATTTGAAAATACCTCCAAAAATTTAGTTTTTTATTAATAAAAAGTTTTTTTTTTAATATTTTTTTTTTAATTACCTCTTATGACTAAACAGTTTAAGCTTAAAAAGTTTGCACACAAATATTAAAAAAAATAAATTTGAACGGAATCATAATAATGAGATTTTTGATGCTGTGTTTGAAAGACTGGTTTAAGAAAAACTTGAATAACTGAGCCAAAACCTTACAAATTTAGACCTTTCAGTAGGGAACGAATTTTTAAAACATAAAAACTTATAAAAAAGGCGAAATAACGAAATAGCCTAGAAAAGGCAAAATAAAATAGCAAAATAGGCAAGAAAAGGCACTAGAATAAGAAAAAAACGCAAAGAAGGCACCAAAAAAAAAAAAACCGAAAAATAATAAAAAATACATTTATTTTACAAGTAAAAAGAGCAAAACTATGAACTATTTTCATTATATCGACTCCTTTGCGCAAAATTATCGTATGTTACAAAAACAAAATTTTACAGGTAAGTGTTTTTTGTATTTTTCTCTGCTTTGGCTAGCACCATCAAAGTCAAAGTTTAGATTTGCTGAGAAAATTGAGAAAGATTTTTTTGTAGAAAGGTCTCTACATTATAATTTCTTAGCCCATATGATAATTCCACCCACAAACAACAAACAAAGAAACAATGTCACATACGATAAAATTTACAGTAAATTTTTGGGGTAGCTATTGGGATTCAAGCCGTAATATTTGAACAGGTTATGGGTTGTAAAACAAAGTTGTATCAAAAGGTGAATTTCGTAAAAATGTAACATACGATAATTTTTCGCAAAGGGGTCGATATGAAAAACTTGTACTTTGAATCTTTGACTATTTTCTCTTTTCGAGTTTTTTATTCACAAAACTTTACTCTATAGTTTTAGTAACATTGAACCACAAGATGCATTTGGACTTTTTCTGGCAGCATTTTCATTAGATTTTTGCGAAAAAATGTTTTGAATATACTAAACGTGAGCTTGACGTGGGTTGATACAAGTGGTGCCCAATTTAAATATGGAATGTTTAAAACTTTCATATTAGCAGAAATAAGGCCTTTTCCCTTGCCTCTTACAATTAAAGGTAGAAAAAAAGGCAAAAAACTCAAATGAGTATATATGGAGACAGGGAAAGCTAAATCGTGGACATTCTTAATCGAATATAATCTATCTCTTTAGCAGAAAAGAATCCATAAAATCCGTTCCCTGCTTATGAAGTACCATTGGTAAGATATTTTATCACCCTTTTAATTTCCTTGCGAATAAGCTCATTCAAAGTATGGGAGAAGAAGGTAAGATAAACGAGTGTCATTCCATGTTCCATGACTAAAGAAAAAATTGGGACGTGAATGAGTTTTTCCGCAAATAAATATAAAGGGTGCGAAAATACCTTTCCACTGATATCTCTTAAGTCTATATCGGTAAAGTTTTGGAGCAGTTATTCAAGTTTTTCTTACACAAATCTTTCAAAAAAGTTAAAAAATAGCATCATAAATCTCATTTTTATGATTCCGTTGATACAATTCTTTAATTTTCTTATGTAGATTTTTTGAGCTTAAACTGTTTTGTCATCCGAGGGGATTTTTTCCAAAAAATCCTTTAAGAAACTATTTTTATTCATAAAAAAAAAATAAATTTTTAGAGGTATTTCCAAACCGGCCCAGCTCACGTAAATCTTAATATCTTTCCGAAATATTTTGGTAGAAGTCTTAAAATATACTAGGTTTGGTAATCCCGCCGGAAAAACCGAAACTTTTTTTGGTGATACAGACTACAGCAGTCGAAAAATTTATAACCACATCAAATTTTGACAATTTTCATATTAGTTTTGTTTTTATTTAATTTTGGTTAGTTTTTTATAGTACATTATTTGACAACACCCGTGTAAATACAAGTTTAAAGGCAGTGTCACACGATTGGGTATTTGCCAAAATTTGGTGCAAATCGTATTCCAATTGTTTGAATGCCCAAAATTTTTTTTATCCCAATCACGAAAATTAATTTGTTCTAATTTTTCAATAGAACATCGCTGTATTTTACCAATCTTTTGACCCATTTTTTCCATTTTTTTATTTTGAACTAATCTGTACAAATGTACCAATCGAGTGCCACTGCCTTAAAAATTTATGCAATTAAAAAAAAAATCAACAAATTTTCGGAAAAATTTCGAGTTTGTTAATTAGATTCTGCGTATTCAGTTTTGTTGCCCATTGAATTCTAGTAGAATGAAGTACAAGTTTTAAATGGCTAAAAACTACAATTGATTTTTTAGAACTTTTAGAAAAGCTCGAAATTTGTACGAAAAGTTTGTTGATTTTTTTTTAATATTGCACAAATTTGGAGNAGTTTAAAGGCAGTGTCACACGATTGGGTATTTGCCAAAATTTGGTGCAAATCGTATTCCAATTGTTTGAATGCCCAAAATTTTTTTTATCCCAATCACGAAAATTAATTTGTTCTAATTTTTCAATAGAACATCGCTGTATTTTACCAATCTTTTGACCCATTTTTTCCATTTTTTTATTTTGAACTAATCTGTACAAATGTACCAATCGAGTGCCACTGCCTTAAAAATTTATGCAATTAAAAAAAAAATCAACAAATTTTCGGAAAAATTTCGAGTTTGTTAATTAGATTCTGCGTATTCAGTTTTGTTGCCCATTGAATTCTAGTAGAATGAAGTACAAGTTTTAAATGGCTAAAAACTACAATTGATTTTTTAGAACTTTTAGAAAAGCTCGAAATTTGTACGAAAAGTTTGTTGGATTTTTTTTAATATTGCACAAATTTGGAGACTTGGATTTACACGGGTTTTGTTAAAGAATGAACAATATTTTTATAAAAAATAACCAAAATGAAATAACAACGAAAATGATACGTTAAAACTTGACAAAAAGTGGTTCGGCTATAATTTTTTGACCACTGTATGTATTTTTTAATATCTTTAATGGAACATGCACATTGTACATACAGGAAGTGCATATCAAAATTAAAGAATATATGCCTTTTCTCCTTTTTTCAAAGCTCATTTTGCCTTTTTTTCAAGTTTTTAGGCAAATCCTACATATCTATATTTCGGAATGGGGCCGTTGGGGCCGGTCAGAACACTTAGGGCCAATTTCAAATGAATATATAAACGGCACTTAAGGTTAATTGTGGATTGCTGTTTAAATTCCATTTAGCTTTCGTTGGGTTTCATATCAACTTTTGTTTAAATATGCTAAACAATTGGCAGCACTGCTGCTTGTTTCTTGAAATTGTTGTTGCATTTGCTTATTTGTTTACATTTTGTGCTGAACAGCTGATTGTTTTTTGGTGGGATTTAGAGGGATTGATTAAACAACCTACCAATCAATCTTCGTTGTTTGGTACAAAAACAGGGTTGCATATCTCATATTTAAATAGCCAATATGGGCCATTTAAGTGCAGATTAATTGTATGATCCGAAAATGAATAGTGGAAGTTAATCAACAACATCTACGTAAGTAGACCGTCTGAAATTGGGCCTTACAAAGTCGTCCCCTAAATACGGCCTTGTTAAGTACATTATAGTTTCAGAATAGGATTTATGTTTATTCGCACATTTGCATACGCTTGCTTATTCACATTATAGTCAGCCCTTTAGTATCGGGTTTCGCTACAAATATTTGATTTTCGATACCTACTCAGTACTTGGTTCAAAAGTATCGATACCAAAATTACTCGGTATCGAACGAAAAGTACCGAGTATTTACTTGTATTTACTCGTATCGTTTCATTCCTATTCTCCTTCTTATTTCGTTGCTGGGTATCAAAGGTTCGTAAAAAGTTATTTTCCAATTTTTGTGTATTGTTTAGTCACGACATGATAGCGTAATTTAATATGATGTTAAGAATGACTTCATTTTGCTGTGCCTGTGAGAGACATAAGTTAATTTTGTTATTGCTATGTTAAAAATATTTGCTACTCTTGACCACGTGGACATGTAAACGTAAAACAGCTGATATGCACTTTGACATTTTATCCATTTTTACCCGGAGAAAAAGTCCGGGCTGTTTCGGGCAGGAAGAAGAAGACACGATCCAATATGTTGCAATTTTCGCTCTCTATTACCCATTTTGTTGAGTACGGGAATGATTTCTGGGCTATTTTGGGCACCCGCTGGATCCCACGTTGCGTACGGGAAAGAACCTAATATGAATATGCTGCCGTAACTGACTGTCAGAAAATGAACGAAAACTCTGTCAAATGCATAAGCAACGTAGGGTAGACTTTTCGATGGCTATATTTTACTTATATGTGTTCAGTGTTACCATAAGTTATTTATTTTTTACCAAATTATACAAAAAATTACCAAACCTATTTTAAATTAAACTAAAATTTCGAAGCATTTCCAAATCCACATTTGTCTAGTTATGACCAATATATAGACATACATATCAGTGTTGCCAAAACTTTTTTTTTATTTTTACCAAAAACGTCAGAAAAAGTTACCAAATTCAATAAAAAAACATGTAAGAAAGTCTAAGTTCGGGCGGAGCCGAACATTAAATACCCGGCGCAAGTTTTAAATATATGTTTTTCACATTTCCAAAAGCTACCGCAACATGGTAAGCCGCGGTGTATCAATTTTGAGTAAATTAGTAAATTATTGAAGTTTCAAGCATTTCTGAAATTTGCCGTTAAATAAAAAGCGGCCGTACTTTTATTCTGATTTCAATTATGTGGTAAGCACAATAACCGTACTGAGTTTGGTAAAAATTTGTTGAACGGTTACCGAGATACATATATGTGACCTGGTCTACGGAAAGGGGGCTTAGGTGTCAAAAAAATCAATTTTCACTTTTTGGTTGATTCGGATGGAAGATGAGATGATTTTCACTTTTAACAGCTTTTTCACAGAAAACTTTTCGCACGTAAGCTCCCTTTTCGTAGACCAGGTCACATATGTGATCATAAGTGGGCGGTGCCACGCCCATTTTCCAAAATTTTAC